ATACTCCAATTAAAATGGATTTTTTTTTTTTTTTTTTTTAAGTTTTCCACGGGCGGCAGACTTGTTCGACCGTGTGAACACAGCCTCCTTTTTGCATTGCTTCAACCACAATCTTGAAAAGATCAGCACTGTAATATTCACACATATCCAAAAACCTATTTATATCCGTCTTTGGTAATGTCTAGCAATTATTCCCACTATGTCTTTGAACTGAGCTACCCGAGTAGTAGGCAAGTAGTAGAGTGGCGTTCACTCTTGCAGTGGAAGTGGAGAGCTTACTGATCGCTCCAGCCTATTAGTGCAAAGCACTGATACTTCTACTGCAATTTCCCGTCGCTTGTTTTCAGTGCATGGACTTGAAAGACGAGATCATCCAAGTAAGTAGACTTTGCCATCTGGGTCATTCCATGCCAAGTCACACACCCTCCCCAGTGACACCTCTTCAATTTGCCTGATTTTTATTCTATTAGTGCCTTATGATGTCCAATGAAAGAATCCGAAGTTTGAGCTTCCGAGCTCAAACGGTTTTTGAATTATGGCCCTTTAAAGTTTGGGTGCCATGCCCACTTTTGGGGTCTGGGAATTGCACACTTAATTTGCAAGCATTTTTGGAGACCCATATCTTTTGTTTTAAGCTAGCTACAGGCCTGTAAATTACTGTATCTATGTATTCTGGCCCTGTATCAGAATCTGCACTTAAAACTAGCATAGGTTTACTATTCTTAGAGATATTAACCCCTTAAAAGTGGATTTTTTAATGACGCAATTAATTTTTGGGGCACTTTGGGGGTCTATATCTTAGAAAGTTTTTGTCCTGATGGGGTTTCAACTAATTTATCATCATATTTGGGTACACTACTGGGTATTTACAGAATTTCAGGGCACTCAGAGCCTTGATGGGGGTACAGGAGGGTCCCAAATATGGCCTCGGGACAAAATTACCCTTTGGCACCCCCTACTTCAGGCCCCGTGTGTGGGTGGGTTAATAAATGTAATTTTTCAATTCATACATGCAAATATATGTGTTCACTGTTAGAATCTGTTATTTAATGTATATTTTATAAAGTTGGTCTGTTTTAACTGCCTTAAACATGAATAGACAGTTAAAACAACAGTTGACCTACTTTCTGGACTTAGGATTTTAACGAAAAAATCCAAAAATAGTGCCATTTGCAAAGGCTTAGTTGATAGTGAAGGAGATTGATAATCAAAGTTCTTATTGGCTCAAAACTTTGATAAAAGGTGACTGTTGATGGGGTAAAAAGCTCATTCCAGTCATCATGTGCCCACATGGCCAACTCAGGGCCTGAAGTAGGGGGTACCAAAGGGTAATTTTGTCCTGAGGCCATATTTGGGACCCTCCTGTACCCCCATCAAGGCTCTGGGTGCCCTGAAATTCTCTAAATACATAGTAGTGTACCCAAATATGATGATAAATTAGTTGAAACCCCATCAGGACAAAAACTTTCCAAGATATAGACCCCCAAAGTGCCCCAAAAATTAACTACGTCATTAAAAAATCCACTTTTAAGGGGTTAATATCTCTAAAAATAGTAAACCTATGCTAGTTTTAAGTGCAGATTCTGATAGACAGGGCCAGAATACATAGATACAGCAATTTACAGGCCTGTAGCTAGCTTAAAACAAAAGATATGGGTCTCCAAAAATGCTTGCAAATTAAGTGTGCAATTCCCAGACCCCAAAAGTGGGCGTGGCACCCAAACTTTAAAGGGCCATAATTCAAAAACCGTTTGAGCTAGGAAGCTCAAACTTCCGATTATTTCATTTCACATCATAAGGCACTAATAGAATAAAAATCAGGCAAACTGAAGAGGTGTCACTGGGGAGGTTTTGGGGATTTGTGTGAATTGACATGGAATGACCCATCTACTTCTTAGCTCTTTCCCAGATGGCGTATGAGGAAAATGTACCTAAGGACAAACACTGCCGCACAAAAAAAAATTCATTAAAAAAAATGTATGTCCAACTTGTCTTCATAATGCCTCATAAGAAAACCTGGAACTTGGGCTTTCTTTTTGAGCTTGATAAATTGGACCACATATTTAGGTCCAAATCTTCCTAAGCATCCATAATGGATACCATTTCAGTGTCACTTTCTATAATTTTGATCAACGATTTTGGAGTGATGAGCGAAAATGAAACTGGTCACAATGCACAAAAAACATCCGCTGTGTGTGAACAGTTGTAGACAAAAGATTTTTCCAGAAAATTATGTTGTGCATCAGGTTGCCAAACTATGCCCAAGATAACCGAGCATTTCTGTATTTGTGTAGAACCGGAAATTACAAGTCTCAGCTTTCTTCTGATGTATAAAAAAAGTGATCCAATGTAATAGGAAGGACGATTGACGTTTGATAATCTATCTTGCCGGTTGTATCCGCCAGTGATTTTGCAATGTACACTTTTCATTAGAGTGAACGGTTTTCGATTTATTGCAGCCAACTACTGGATACCCTTTTCTATCCTATGGAGCATTTCCTCTGCCATTTTGCTCTGACATTTGGTCAACAGAGCCAGAAATAATTTTATATGTCAGCGTGCACCTCAATGTGTATATGTGTTAAACATAAGTCAAGTTAGTAAGTAAGGGACATAGCCTTATCACGGACAAGCCCAATCTTGCAGAATCTGTTAACAATAAAATTCATAGATATTGATATGATATACATCGATTTTAGTATAGTGCATTCCGAGTCCTTTAAGCATCCTTTATTTTGACCAATAAAAGGGAACAACTAGGTTCTTCACATCAGTTCTGTCATGTTTCTCACAGAAGGAATTTCATACAATACAAGTGCCCCGCATCACCTTCATTTCTTTAGTCCCCGCCCCCATACCCCAGTGCAAATCAAGGAAAAGCGTGCAGCGACTGGCAGAGAAAACAGCATGAAGTGAGACTTGCCCAGTGTCGGCTGAGAAGCGAGACCTGCAGACACGGCTTTACTCTGGCACTATGAACGGTACCTCTGGGGGAGGGGGTTTGATAGTAACGGGCTGAGAGGAGCGGCGAGGGGGGGAGGGCTTGGGCTGAGCCTGTTGCTGCATGGTGTCATAGTAGGTAACTCCACCATACACCTGGGCCTGCGCCTACAGGGAAGAGCACAGGCACACAGAATTAAACACTCCGCAGAGCGCGCTCAAGCGGTACTGACAGCAAGGAGCACTCTGGCTCATGTGAATCTGCAGAAGATACGGCATTAAAGACCCACCTGAGGGTTGGGGTACATAGGGGGCATTGTGGCCGCAGGAGCATAGGAGAAGTTTGTATTCCCAAAGGTCATGACCCCAGGTGGGGGGTAGAAGGGCGGGGCCAGGAGCTGCTGGGGGGTGGGCTGGCCTGGAGCCATGGAGACGGCTGGGCCGGCGTATATTGCAGGGTTAGGCATCGGAGCACCAGACTGGTGCGGATGCAGACCTGCGGGTACAAATAAGAGGACCACACACAGAGTTAAAGAGAAACAAAACTATACTCCGACAGTTCTGCTGAAAATTCTGCGGAATAAACAAACATCGCAAGGCCGCTAAAAGCGCAACGGCTAAACGGACAGAAGACAATGTAATCCTTTACAAAGACTTCATGGCACGGTACGCTTTTGCAACTTTGTCCTTAACTGACAGTAACGCCATCAAACACTATACAGACCGGCCAATCATTTACATCTAATAAAGTGCCCCTGTTAATCTTCACACTTTATAATACGCCCTTTAAAAAACAAACCATCTGCATTTTGAAAATAAAAACAAAACCATCAAGGATGTGCTCACGACAACACTCTGGAATGTCACAATATACTCTTTAAAACATGATGGATGTATTCTTCCTTCCACTTCATTAATTTTCAGTTTTCTAGAACCCATGAAATCAGCTTCTATAAATATCCATGCGAATAATCCGCACGGAAATTTGCGTTTGGTCTGAATGGGCCTTAAAGAGGCAAATTCGGGCAGTTTCTGGCCCTCCTTGCAGACCAGTGAAGATGTTTGCTACTCCAAAATTAAGACATTATAGACTTCATATTATTGCATAATTGCATTTCACTATACCATTGAACTACCTTATTTTGTGCTCAAATCACATATTCGCAGAAATTTGGTTTATGGAGAGAAAGTGGCTGATTTGCAGCTATCCAAAAATATACACATGGCGAGTTTTTAAAACCTGTGATTACAGGAGTTTGTTACGCAAAGTGAAACTGCACATTCCTCTGCACCCATCAAATGAACCACAAACTTTTCACTGCAACTCACCAGCTGAAACACAAAACATTCCCTTCCACAAGACCACGGGCTGTTCTGTTTTGAAATGCTCAATACAAGATTTGAATCAGAGTTAAAAAGACACAGGCAGGTAGAATAGCAGTGCGAGAGGAGTAAAGACACCAGTAAGAAAGTGAGCTGACCTGGATGTCCAGGGTGACCAGGATGTGTGAGGTGCATCTCTGGCTGGACCAGCATGCCTTGGGGTGCGAGAGGCGTGGGACTCTCACTGTGGGCATATATTGGTCCCTGGAAAGACACTGCAAGAGAGATAACAGTGCGGCACACATGGTAAAATCAATAAAAGGCCCACCCTTGAATAGCAACTGCATTCAATACAACAGACACTACAGTGCTGTGAAAAAGTATTTGCCCACCTCTCGATTCTTCCATTTTTCCCCTCATCCGAGTCAGACCCGGGCCCTTTACAGCATGTCATCCCCACTCTTCTCCCATTTTTCCTGTCTCTCTACTGTACTGTCAAATATGAAGGTACAAACTCCCCAAAAAAAAAAAAATCATTGAAAATTGATTGGATGATCTGCAACATTTTTAAGTGACATATAATCAAAAATAAAAAAGGCCAAATACTTCACAGCAATGTATTTTCTGCAGGCGCCAAATTGGATGTTATTCATCGTATTGGGAGTTTTTCTCCTTTATTGCGATAGTTGAGATGGTTAGGAAGATTGGGGAGAAGAGAGGGGATGACATGCAGTACATGACCAGGGCCGGGAATCGAACCCGGGTCGCTGCGAGAAGGACTCAGCCTCTGTTCATGGCGCGCGCATTATCCCAATGAGCCACCGGTCTGTGGTCAAATTTAATATTGCCAAAATATAGGTCATATACGACTTCCTGTATGTCAATAATACAACCATTTCTGCAACCATGTGGCCTCCACAGGCCATCTTGCATATTCATAAAGTACAGCGCCCCCAATAGACCCACTTCCGTCGATTCAATCAAAATGGCGCTCGCATTGTACATTGACGGTACCAAGGTAAGTTGATTGTCTGATTTAGAAAAAAAATTAACAAGCAGTTTTTGAAAAATAATTTTTTTTTAAATTTCTCAGTCCTATCTTTAACATTGGGGCCAAAATTTCAAGGGCCCATAAAATGGACAAAAATGATTAAATTAAAAATCTGAGAAAAACGTCTGGAGATATGGTCTAGTAGTATGTTATTGCAAATGTACATGAAAATTCATTTGGCCAAAAGAAAAGATAAAAAAATGTTCCGGACGACGGACGCCACACCACGACAATAGCTTATCGGCCCATAGGGCCAGTAAGCTAATAAAAATGAGCACTTGAACATACACCAGCTTAGTAACTACTTAAAATGACCATTTTTTTCCTGAGGATAGTTTAACATGTACTTTAATTTTTTAGTGAGGCCCACGTCCTATCCACTGACAGGGGGGGAGCAGGTTCATAGCCTGTACTGAGGCCAGCCACTAGAAGCTATCCAAGGCCAGGGAGTTTTGGCCTCTCTTTAGGGAGCAGTCAAGTCATCCATTTTAAAACAAAGTCAACTAGAATAACTCGGCCGCCACAGGGACTGAGTCGTGCATCTCCCCGATCCCCAAATTTTTGAACAAAATGGCCGCCGGCAGCCATATTGGACATCCAAAATTGACAAAAATCAGTCTTGAGCATTGTCATACATACATCTTTGCCTGTGTAAAACTGGAAAACATTCCTGTGATAATTGTTGCTTCCAGAGCCGGAACATAAAATCTCTGCGGCGGCCCCGGAACTAAACCGTGGTATCTCCCGACTATCGTCGTCAGGGAGATTCAATGAAGGCAATTAATAAGGTGGTTTCAAGCTTTGGGTCAAACCTGCAGTTCCTCCTGTGGGCACTAGATGGGGCTCCCTTGTGCTTCATAGAAATAAAGTAAAAAAAAAATTTAAAGGATTGAACTATGAATTCTGAAAATGTGGGGGAGAAACTATTTCATCTTTTGAGCAAATTGATATGAGTGCACACTTCTAATTTAGGCCCTGAAAACCAGAAAATGACATCACCATTTAATCAACAAATAACACGCGAAAGGAGAACCAAGATGCTCCCACCGTCATTCAGAATAAAGCAAAGGACACTGCTACCCTAACTGCAAGCAGCGCTCCACTCACTGGGTTCATAGTAGTGGCCCTCCACAATGCTCATATGCATGGGTGCAGGCTCTGGGACGGGGCGCTGCCTCTGGGAAGAGTATCGCTTCGCTCTGCCACCACTTACACCCTAGCAAGGGAACACAAGAAGGGGGTAAAAGAAAAAGGACAGAATCAGAGGTCAAAAACTCTAAATTTCAAAAGCTGGGACTGCTGAGTTAGTCATCTTGCCTGACGAACTCAAGCAAAACCCCTTTGGAATGGGTTCATCCACTCCTAGATTGGCACTTAAGCTCCTCTGGCCACCAGGGGACACCATTAGTTCTCAATAATCATCTTTGTTGGTTGGCATGGGTAATTAGCTGAATACAAAGTTGGTCGAAGGTTATGTATTCACCCATGTCTTTTTGTCCAGACAATATTTCTCAAATTTCTCAATTTCAAAGATATTCTGTGGAAGTTTGGGACATGGCTCAAGGAACAATCAGTTAGAATTTGGTTGCGATCCGGAATCACCATCCGGATCCAGGAATTTCTGTAAGGATTCTTCACCATTGTGGGATTGCAAGATTTGCCTAAATGCCACACATCTTCAAATCCACTAGATAGCAGTCGTTTCCAAATGCGTTGACGGAGGTATGCGCTCTCAAAGCGCAGTCTCATTGTACCAACTCATTTCATATAGGAATGGGTTTATTTTATAAGGTCAGTCCATATCTAAGCATCCAGACCCTCCCAGATGACCCCCTCAGAAATTTCTCAAGAAATTCATATGGGTACCTCTGGTGGACTTATGAAATAATACCAAGTATTGGACCAATATCCCTAATGGTTTTGAAGTGATGGCCTGTCACAATTTTATTTTTTTTTTTTTTTTTTTTTTAATTTTGAATTTTTTTTAACATCATTCAAAAAATTGCAGTAAAAAAAACTAGGCTGAACACCATCCCAATTTTTTTGTCAGATGAAGTTGACAACTATAGCAATCTATGGTAAAGATTTGAAGGATGTGGTCAATTGCACACATGGTGAACCATGGACTTCAAAATTGCTATTTTTTCCGTGGAAAATGAAAAATCGAGCAAAATAAAAAAAAATTTTTTTTTCTTCTCATTCCTGCCAAGATACAAACAAGATTAAAGTGGATTACCTATGAGAGGTATCAGGGCTGGTCACAAAAAAAAAATTTCAAGCTTGAATTCCCTGAACTTTCTGATCTGTAGCATTTAAAAAGTACAGCAATTTTTGGCTTTTATCTCGGCCAACTTTGGAGCCATATTTCCATTTTTTGTGGAGCAACCAAGGTAGATAAACCTAATCTGACCAGAAATTCTGATTCTATTCTCTAACAAAAACCACGTGAAAAATTTGGCCAGAGAAACCAAAAATCTGATCTGTAGGTCAAATAATAGAGGAGCAGTGGAAGCCCAAAGTTGAGAATCTATGGTAAAGATTTGAAAGGATGTGGAAACACAATTTCGTCAAAATGAAAACTTTCTGACAAAATTTTAAAAAATACTTAAAATTGTGACAGGCCATCACTTCAAAACTATTAGGGATATTGGTCTAATACTTGGTATTATTTCATAAGTCCACCAGAGGTACCTATATGAATTTTTTGAGAAATTTCTGAGGGGGTGACCCAGGAATTTTCTGATTTTCTGGATGCCTACACTTGGACTGACCCTATAGAGATCTTCAGTAGATGTTTAAGTACTGATTCACCAGAGGCCGAGACACCAAGGCCTCTTCAGTCATTACATTCCTATTCGGCCAGACAGACATCAGCTACACCTCCTCCTCAGACCTACTCACCATTTCCTCCATGCGGTTATACTGCGGCGGCCCACCAGCCATATGCATCGAGTTAGGAATGCCTGCAGTGACACAATGCAAGAATAAGTCTCATTCCAGGTTAAGGCCCACATAAATCATGCAAAAATGGTAGCATTACTTTCATTTGCAGAACAAAACTTCAAACACCCATCTCTACAACAGCCAGTGCTAACTAGAGGAAGACAGAGGCAGAACGGAGGGAAGTACTAGGTGCAATGTTTTACACTCTGAAATAAGCAGGTGTGAATTGAGATCTTTAGATGTAGCACCAAACTCACTCATTCACTTCTGGGACCTATTGAGATGAATCATCTTAAAGTACAAACTAATAAAGGAGCAATTAACAGACGGCCTGAAAAATTTAAGGCGCAGCAGTGATACGAACAATCAGTAAACAGCTGGTTTTGCCAGTATTCATGTTGTGCAAATGCAATAGGGCAGCTCAGTAAAGCTTTCAACACTGTAAAATATCCTTCTAGCAGACAGGAAGTATAACCGTGTGATGGGTTTACAAAGTCAGCATGGTTCACATGATTTGCATAGCACAGCACTTGTAAATAGATATCATACTTGTACAATGTTACACTAGTCGGTTTGATTTGCATTGCGTGACATTTTGTAAACTGAATTTTTACTTGTACAATGTTACACTGGTCACTCAAGACACAATCAAATTCATGGCACAACTAACTATTCATTTAAATAATCTTAAGTATTGCTAGATGACCAATAATTGTTCCTCTCTGCGGCAAACACAACCAACGGTTGCCAACTATGCGTTAAACATTTTTAGTTGCGCACCATCTACACAGACATGGTTTGCAACCTTCATACACGCTATATATTCTCATACACCCCAAGAACAGACCTATATTTCAGCAAACTATACAGAAATACAAGTAAGTATGGGTGTTTAGACAGAGTAAAAAAAGATCCCTCATCTTGGTCGCCACTACAGCTTCATAACCTTAATCCAATGATTTCAAATCCACTATCCTAGAATACAAAATTCAAAATTTATTAATGTCCTTAAGTATTTGAACACTGAGAATAAATCATTTCGGTTCTGTAGACCACCACAATGGATTCAAGTGCAATGCCTGTTAAGTTGGATTCAGGTCAGCTGACTGACTTGACCACTGTAAAGCATCTCCCTTCTTCATCTTAAAAATGTCTCGGGTGGTTTTCAGAAAATAGTCTGGGTCATTTTCCATATGAACTGTGAAGAGTCATCCACTGAGTTTTGGAGCATTTGGCATATTTAAGCAAATAAATACAAGAGCACCAGTTGCATCGGCAGTCCACACCATAACACTACCACCAGACTTCACAGACGATGTGGCGTGCATCAGATCATGAGCAGTCCCTTCCCATCTCTACAATCCTCTCCTTCAATCATTCTGGTACAAATCGAGCCTTCGCTCATCTGCACATGGGATATTGTTCAGAACTGTATCAGCTTTATAGACATTTGATAGCAGGAATTCTGCATACACTCGTTTTATATACAAGCGTCAAGGCGTCACCTGTTAAACAATTTAACATAGCACAACTTTCCTAGACTTCTATTGCACATCCTCACTCTTAAGAACTAGTTACAGGATGAAAACAAACAAAAGAAAAAAACAATATTGATAAGATAAAACATTAAATGTATTGTCCAGCATCACTTTGGATTGAGGTCCAAATCACAGCATTCTTCATTTGTATTTTCCAGGGTCCCAACATGTGTGGAAATCGGGTGGTAGACTGAGTATCCAAAACTCTCCTGAGGGGATGAAACATCATTCCTCCGAAGGTTATTCCATCATTTGTTACTTCGATGACAGGTGGGGTGCGATCATGTCCAACTCA